CCCCCCCCCCCCCCCCCGAGAAAAGTGAATTTCCATTAACATGTACAGTTGCCAACGAAAGCGGATAATCACTCAGGCTATACGAGAGCAACCCTTTCAGGTTGATTTCGCGAGTGTTTGACAAAATCAGCAATCTAGCAAAGAGATCTCTGCTTGTCTTCATTGATACTTGGCGGCCTTGGCTGCCGTTCACTGTCAGTTTTTTAGAGGGAAAGTTTGCAACTTATTTTTCTTTATTTTCGTGAAAACATCTGGATTGTCAGTGAATAAGTTGTTTTGGCATAATTCAGAGAACTGATTTGCACCAAGCTCTTCAGCTTGTAGGATATTTATGTGTTTTTTTCTCTACAACGCTGATTTCAATTGTTTTTTTTTTAAAAAGGCGCGAAAAGTCGAGCACGAGTAGCCATGTCGAGGGACTGAAACTAGCGTAATAGTTTAATATTACATGAAGTATTCAGCAGAAAAATGGCGGATACGTGAATTCCAAAGAGTGAAATTTCTTGAAGTTTGATCACGAAATACTAAAAAACTGCAGGTAAGTACGCGTGACAACAACTGAAATCGAATTTAGCGTACAAAAATCTACAGTATTATGTAAATTAAAATTAGTGCCAGAGGTTGGACAACAATTTTTTTTTCGAGCGACTTTTCATGGCAGAGATTACGGCCTAATAGTATTGTGAGCCCAAAAGCCCCAAAATATTTTATTTTGAACGTTTTAAAGCGCAGTTTAATCAGTCCTAGTCCAACTAGCGGCTGACAGTTTTGAGGGAGAATGTAGCGTACTAAATATAACTTTACTATGCTTGTAGAGCCTACCGCATTTTAGTACTGTGTTATTTTATAAAGCCATTCGCGCTCGTATTCGACTTTTCCGCTTAGCTCGGGGAAAACCTTAAATCTTAATTGAAAGAGCTGTGTACTGTATGTATCATGTACATTTTACAGTAATGACTAATGTGCGTAGTTCTATAGCCCCAGCGAGTTGACGCTCCGTAGAGCGTGTTGTTACTTCTTAGAAAACATGCTTTAATTGTTTTGGCTAAGATGAAATGTCTACAGTGTTTGATGTCGCTACCGTTAAGTGTTTGATTTGAATGCGCTGTTTGTTTACATAAGTAATGGAGGATTTATTTCTAACTGTAATTTTAATCAAATAGTTAATACATGAAAGGGGGCGGTATGCAAAATACATAGCCAAATCCGGTAGATGGTCTTTCCCACCTGATCGTCGCGGACTATCGCCATACGGAATGCTGATTTTCGTTTGAAATTACACACAATATTGCTAGAAAAATATGTTTTGATCATGCTCATCCTAAATATTTTATTTTCTCAAAATTCATCTGAAATAAATACCTGTGTCTGCTTCCTTTATAGCACATTTTTGAGCGTCTTGAATCGACTCAATTGCCTTTTCAGTACATCCGAGATTAAACCAGGCAACTCCCAACCCAGTAAGGGCCTTTTCTCGCAGGAGGCAATTATTGGGTTCTGTTCCAAAAGCATCTAATGCTTCTTTGTACCATCTTACGGCCGTCTCGTAATCACGATCTTTACTACAAACTGATGCCAAAGTTAAACAAGAAGTTCCCAATCTCTGCTTTGCGATCATTTGCATTTCTTTATCTTTTAATTCTTTACTAATATTTATGGCTTGTTGATAAGATTCAATTGCTTTCTCCTCTTGCTTCAATTGTTGGAAGGTGTTTCCAAGCATGAAACCGATCGAAATATTTGCTACATCTTTTCTGCTATCAAGAACACGAGAAATCACCCGGTGCAGAAACCGATCTTGTCCTTGTCTACCATAGAGATAAAATAGCCCAGGCAAAGATTGACCACGTACAGGTACTTTTTTCTCACTACGAGATATCTCTTGAGCTTTGAGATACGATTTGAGAGCTGCATCAAATTCACCACACTCGTAGTAAACATGTCCTAACTTTATATGAGCTTCTCTTTCGAGTCTTGCATCATTAAGCTGTTTGGCTACTGTCAAAGCTTCTACGTAATACTTTCGAGATGATTTAAGGTCGCCAGTATTTTTAAATGCACTTCCTATTCCCAGGTAAGCGTGAATTTTCCTGTTTTCGTCACTAAGCTGCGATGCAAGTTTTACCAGTTCGTTGTAATACTCAATACATTCTTGGTAGTGACCAACTTGCAGGTGGTTATAGCCTAACCATTCGTATGCTTCTACTTCCAACCTATCTGCCTCAAAGCCTGGGGATATTTTACGTGCCTTCTTATAATACTCGATTGCTTTCTTATACTCGAAATGTTCAGTAAGTATCTTTCCCAAATATTGAAAAGCTTTTGCTCTGATCGAATTGTAATCCGTTTCATCCACACATATAACTGCTTTTTTGTATCTTCTTATAGCCTCTTCACCTTCAATGTCTATTTGCTCTGCATTATCAACAGTTTCACGTTGGGTGTCTTGCGGCTGAGCACCAATGGATGTATTGGATGCGTTGAGATTATTGCTGCTATAATCGTGTGTACCTAAGTGGCAAAATTAAAAATACTGCTTATATCCTACTGTCAAATGTAGTTTCCTATGGATAAGTGCAATAAAAACATACTTAATGTTTTAACTGACTTTGTCTAAAAGTACACACGAATTTACATGTGTTTTTTTCATGAATATGGTAGCAGAAAGGCTTTGGAATAAAAAGTTTTAAGAATGGCGTTTTGGCTTTGACAAATTCAGTTGGGCTTCTGACAACGACAGGTTCATGTTCAGATCCGATCAAAAACGCATAAAAATAAATCTGTTTTGATTTAATCCGACGTTTTTTACTAAAAGGACAATAAATAAGGTATGCTATTTTTATATTTTTGTATTTTTTGTATTTTGATGTTAATTTGCATGTTTCAAGTTAAACTTAAAATTAGCAATAGTTGTCGATGTTTTTACGATGCAGAAAGGCTGTTCCAGACTTCCGACTATTTGTTTTTTGTTATAATTGATTTAATTAAAATTTTCTAAAAACGTTGGATACAAGAAAAAATCATCATACGATAATTATCTTTTATGCAAAGTTTTAAAAAAATTTACTGAAGGAAGTTTTTAAAATGGCCAAATTTTGAGCTTAATTATCCTAAGCACGCTGTTGCCATGGTAACGGACTTTCAGCGCAAAAGTAGCAAAATGCAATGTTCAGGAGAGCGTTGTTGAATGTGTCCAATAAATTCGTCTTCATGTTTACTGTAGTTTAGTATGATTTTTTTCTTCAATTTTAAAAAATTCTATCCATCGTTTTTTAGAAAATTTCAAAAACGTCACAACTTAAATCAACATTAAAATCATTTCCCTTCAATAAAATTTTTAAAAAAAAGGATATTGAGCATTTGAGCTTGTTAAGCCGATGTTAAGAAATGTGCAAAGTTTTAAAAATTTTACGGAAGAAAAGGGAAAAATTTAGGTTTAATTTTGGCATTTTTTGCGAGATGTGACGTGTACAATTATCTATCACATCTGACTTGTACAAACTCAAAAAACTTCCCGAATGGATTTTTAAAATGCCCAGAAAAAGACAAATCTTGAGCCTTAACCTAGGCACGCTGTTGCCATGGTAGCACAAAACTAGCACATTGCAATATTCAGCAAAGCATTGTCAATCAGTCAATGTGTCCAATAAATTTCGTCTTATGTCATGTAAAGTGAAGAAACAGGCATTTTCTGGATACTATATAGTATAGTATAATGCAAAAAAACCCTAGTGAGCCGCCTTAAAATAGTTTTTATTATTAATTTAGGGTTTTTAAACACAGAAATCACTCGTGGTCATTTGTGGTCACTCGTGGTCTTTCGTGGACTGGTCGCTCGTGGTTATTTGCGTCACTCGTGTGTACCTATAGACAAGACCGTTTGAACAACCATGCAGTTTCAATATCTGACATATTTTCGTTCATGCACTCCCTTAATTTCATTAAGTAATTAAATCAATCAAAAGGCGGTTTCAACTCTAAACAAGGGAAGTCCAGCATTAGTGGAACATGTGTATCATACGAAGGCCTACTCCAGGACCAAAAATCGCTTAGTGGAACTCCAGTCCCAAAACAATTAAGTTTGGTTAAATAAAAGATCCTATGTTTATTAGAGAGTTTTCAAATTTTCTCGGTCGAAATATTTATGGATAACGAGAAATTGCTTGCCAAAGTTCAAGGTTTTTCCAAATTTGGCCGCCATTTTGGTATTTTCCATGCAGACGCGGATTTGTCAGCGCCCTCACTTTTTGACGTCATTGCGTGCTTCTGAGGTGTTTTTGATAGCGCAAGCTATAATAGTTTTGTATGGCGATATTAATATAAATGTTGACTTTTTTCGTTTCAAACCATTCTTATTCGTGAAAACAAATTTTATAGAGCTATTTACCATCATCCAAGTCTAGATATTTCATTTTTAACATTACCATGAGTCTCTAACAGTGGATAAATCATTGTACGAGCCAGATCATGGAACTAGCTTGCTGCCATTTTGGCAACGAACGCATGCAAAGCCGTAGCATGATAGCGTCAACATAGTTGGGGATCTGCAGGTGATTTTCCTAGATAATTTTGATTAGTATATCGTTTTTATATGCTGTTTATAAACTTGGATTTATGGTCTTTCCAGACATTGTCTTTAAAGTAGATAATTTGCACAGTATGGAGGTCTATGACTATGGAGACAAGAAAGTATTAAGTATACGAAAGCATACAACATAGGATTCTCAATACAGATATATCCGTGGGGACAGTAGACTATAAAGTCTCCACTATCTCATCATGACTGCTGATATTTGTATAACGCACCCTGAACATGCGTGCGTGTAATATTTTGTTCGTGTTTCATTTCAATTGTGTAAGCAGCACCATTGGCGTCATGGCGTATTAAATTGGCCCAAAAGCAAGCAAACGACAAAACTATTAATCCATGCACATTGATTGAGGTTATTTGCTATATGGTTATGTTAACAATCTGGAGCTTTAAGATTTCCGGATATGAAAATTCCTTTATTTTATAAATGATCTACGGCAACGAGCAGACATGGTATCAATATCAGCATGATATCTTATAAATATCTGCAGCGCCTGTTACGCGATAATACAGCTCGCAAGTTAGTCTATTTGTTAATTTTTGCTTAACGCATGAGTTACAGTTCTACTCATTGTTTTCTGTAACAAATTATACTTCAAACACTCATTAATAATTCATAAGCTTATTGGCAAATCATGTCAACCATAATATGTCACGTTCAGTGGCTTTAAACCTGATAAAACACTCCTAATTAGTATTCTTTATATAAAGAATACTAATAAGGCAGTATCTATTGTATTCGTGTCCTCATTAGTATTCTTTATATAAAGAATACTAATAAGGCAGTATATCTATTAAATTTGTAGTCGTGTTTGAAGCCGTTTAATAAACTCGCAGGTCGTGTTTTATTAGGTCTTAAGCCACTCGCGTTGCGCGCTCGTGGCTTTAAACCTAAATACACACTCCTGATCGTTTATTAAACAGTACTAAATATTAGTAAATAACTACATATAAGTAAAATTATTCTGAATTATTGGCGTGTGAGTATTTTCACACTATTTTTGCGCATAGGTCGTATTACTTAAATCGAGATTGCATATAAATTAGTGATGATGCTACTAACCGGCTATATTTCAATTCGCAGGTTTAACGATTTCACATTAAAGTGCCTATATATGCGGGAATTTTTTTATGATTAAATTGCAAAGTTCATTTAAAATCATAATGTAACTTTTTTCTAAAATTTTGTTATCTTTCCTGAATATTGAAGTTGACGATTTAAACACAACAATAACCTCCTTACGTGAAAGAATTAAAACCGTCGAAACGTCAAACGAGCAATTAAGGCTGTCGGCAAAGAGCGTAATTATGGAAATAAAAGATAACTTTAATCCCATCCAAACGAATGATAATCACGTTAATGTTGCCAATGATATGTCCACACAAACGTCTGACCACAGTTTTAAAGATCCAAGTCAGGTCAATCGTTTAAAGGCCTGATTTCACGATCGCTTTTTTTCAGCGAAATGCGAAATATTTCGCCTGTTTCTTTTGAATTGAATTGAATTTATTACAAAATCTGAATGGCAGCTAAGAGCTGAATTGTACAGAGTTGACATTTAAAATACATGGTAAAACTAATACATTACGATACTAGAAGGAATAAAACTTTTACTAAATCTTGTAGTCTTACAATTAATTAAGTTAGTATATGCTGATCATTACGTAGATTGTAAGTACGTAAGTCCTCACGTTTATTACGGATAAGTTCATTCAATTTATTTTCCGGGTTGAGAAGTTTCTTAAAATAGGATTTACATAAATTATTTCGTCTTTGTGAGAGCAACGATATTTCATGAACTTCCAAGGCTTTGCGGTATGACAGGTCAGGACATATTATTCGTAGGGCTCGCTTCTGAATTCTATCGATTTCTTCCTTTAAATAGTCAGGGGAGTTTAAGTTCCAAACCTGGCATGCATATTCAAGCACAGGTCGTATACATGTGGTATAGACTTGAATTAGAGATCTCCCTCCAAGACCGCTGCGTTTAAGCACTCGGAGAAAAAAAAGTCTCTTTGATGCCTTGTATACTATGTGTTCAACATGTAAGATCCAACTAAGATCAGAAGAAAAGTACAGAGAAGAACCTTTGCTGATAAAACTGGGGACATA